CCCCGAAATGGGAGGCTATCGTGGCTAGATAAGTGTAGTTTAACGACGGCTGGAATTGGAAGAGTTGTGTTCAAAACTTTCAGCTGCCAGATGTGTGAGTGCGAATCAAACTTCACTTTGTCACTAATGGTTAAAGTGTGTGTTCAGTAAACTCTGGGACATACTGATGTGGAGAGGGTACTTCTATAGCAACTGTTGGACATGGGGATATGGGTAGAGTACTTCTATATAGGGCAGTATCAACTGTTGGACATGGTGATGTGGGTAGAGTATTTCTATATAGTGCAGTATCAACTGTTGGACATGGTGATGTGGGGAGAGTACTTCTATATAGGGCAGTATCAACTGTTGGACATGGTGAAGTTGGTAAAAGTTGACTGGTTATTACATTATTTTTAAAAAAAATAATTTGTGTAAATAGTCATATAATTTGTAGGTGTCATGATATACCGGTAGTCAAGAAATACAATATTTTGAGATTTAGGGGAAAGTAAAGCGAGTAACAATAATGACCTCGCTGCTTCAACAGCACCGACAATGCCCTCTTCAGCATAAGAAATGACCACCTGCTCCTCACCAAAAAAGGATTCGACCAATGCGAGTCACTGCAAAGAGGTCATTATTGCTCACACCGACACTGCTTCTATTTGAAGGGCTGAATGGTTGGAAGAGGATGATGTTGACTTGTCTGGTACGTATATCAGTGCCGCAAGATGAACATGATAAAAGCTATTATAGACCAGGCCCATCAGGGGCGTAAGTCAGGGTTTTTTTAGTGGAAAAAGGGGGGGGGGCAAGTCAAAACTTAGACAGCTTGTTGTTTATTACTATTACTAAAGGCGAACAGTACACGGCAATTTAAATAAAAATCTGCAAATTCAGGGGGAGGGGGGTAAATGCCCCCATGCCCTCCCCAAATGATGCCCCTGATGCCCATTGTTACGATAAAGCAACACCTGGCTACTCCATGGGAAGATGATAGCGGCTAGAAATTATACTATAATCGTCAGCTTTACTAACAATAATCATATTTATACCACAAACAATGATATTTAGTCTTTTATTAACAAACTTTCAATTCATTCTAAAATTTAAGTGTAAAAACTTTTTAACTTGTTGACTAACAAGCTAAAGATGTNTATTATAGACCAGGCCCATCAGGGGCGTAAGTCAGGGTTTTTTTAGTGGAAAAAGGGGGGGGGGGGCAAGTCAAAACTTAGACAGCTTGTTGTTTATTACTATTACTAAAGGCGAACAGTACACGGCAATTTAAATAAAAATCTGCAAATTCAGGGGGAGGGGGGTAAATGCCCCCCTGCCCTACCCAAATGATGCCCCTGATGCCCATTGTTACGATAAAGCAACACCTGGCTACTCCATGGGAAGATGATAGCGGCTAGAAATTATACTATAATCGTCAGCTTTACTAACAATAATCATATTTATACCACAAACAATGATATTTAGTCTTTTATTAACAAACTTTCAATTCATTCTAAAATTTAAGTGTAAAAACTTTTTAACTTGTTGACTAACAAGCTAAAGATGTAATAAAAAGTTGTCCCTACAATTTTGTGTCATTAAAATAGATCAGCACAAAGTTAAATGCATTTATATATTTAATTGTTTTATAATTCTTTTTTCGCCGGGGGGGGGGGGGGGAAAAGTTTTACATAATTAAATAGTGGGGGGGGGTCATTGAAAATTTGACAAGGGGGGAGTGTTTAAAAATTGCGTAAAATTTGTTGGCGTCATTAATGGACGAGCCCTTACTGCGACTGGTCACCTTAATGTCGGTAAATCACGACTGCAGACTGGTCCCTTTGATCAAATGTTGTCGGTGTTATTGACCGGTGACTGTCGGTGAGACGACAGTGATATTGAACAGACTTCCTCCGACGGAACACCTGATGTGAATACCTGATGAAAGTCGGCGTTCCGCTTGGTGACACGACCGAGGGGCAGGGGAGGAGGAGGTGTCGCACCGCAACTTTACGGTTGTCGGTATGCTTCAGAAACGTGCCCGTCGGTATGATTGAGGGCACCACTTTTGAGTTCTCTGTTGACCTGAGCCTAACTGTGCACGCTGTCGGTGCGAAGGTGTTTGCTACCCATGCAGGGTGATGGCGGTCAGCTTGGTCGGTGTGGCGACGCGTTGATAGTGGCGGTGATGTCACAGGTAGAGAGCCCCAGGTACGTTGGCGCTCCGCATGGCTGCACACACCTTCTGGATATCCATCGCAACGTCGTTAATCGGTCCAGCTTAGAACGGATCACAGGTCGGGCGCCGACGACTTTCATGTGCCCGTCGGTGCGAATGGGTCAACTCTATACCTTGATGTCGGCGCACGGGTGTTTCATCCCCCACGCTGGGTGTTGGCGGTCAGCTTTGTCGGTGTCCTAGTGTGCCGACAAGTTGGTGTAACATGATGTAAGCACCGGTGTAAGCACCGGTAAGGTCGCCCCTATGTAAGCACTGGTAAGGTAGCCCTGACTGTAAAGTCATCCTGGTGTAAGCACCTGTAAAGCAGCCCTGATGTATCACCGTAAGGTCGCCCTGATGTAAGCACCGTAAAGTCGCCCTGTTGTAAACACATGTAAAGTCGCCCTGATTCGCCTTGATGTAAGCATCTGTAATGTCTCCTTGATGTAAGCATCGGTAAACCTTGAATGACCAGATTAGTGCCTTAAGGCAGGGACGTCCAACTCAATCGCTCGGCGGGCCAAAACTCAAATCACATATAAGGTTGCGGACCGAACAGGAGAAACATTCAATTAGCAGGACATTAATCTTTTTAAAAAAAAAAAAAAAAAAACATTAATATTCATAAAAATTAAAAAAAAATTAAAATAAATAAAAAGGGCCAAAACTCAAATCACATATAAGGTTGCGGACCGAAAAGGAGAAACAATCAATTAGCAGGACATTAATCTTTTTAAAAAAAAAAAAAAAAAACATTTATATTCATGAAAACTAAAAAAAAGTTTAAATAATTAAAAATTATTGGCACACCCATGTTCGTTTTTATGTCAATTGGTCAGAGCTGGATGTTTGCTTGGCTACAAAAACAAATAAGTTCGTTTATGTTGGTAGTAACGTACTGTGTCATTGAGATTCTCATGATGGACTGCAAGTGTTCATAAGTGAGACGACTCATGTCTGGTGGGTTGTTAATGTTCATCACAGAAAACAGCTGCTCACACAGACATGTGCTGCCCAGCATGTAGACGAAGCTGGGGCATCTCTCCAGGAATGAAACGAGTGAACTGTGCAGGCCCAACTGTCTCTTGGTTTGCCTTTAGTGTCCCATTACACTGCAGCTCTATTAGCACAATCTGCAAATTACAGGTGCAGTTTTGACGTCTATGACAAATGGGTTACGAAACAGCTCGAAATTATATTTCTGCGCTTCAAAGTCACTAAAGCGCCGTGCGAACTGGGCGCGAAGAAAGCTAAGTTTCTCAGCAAATTTTTCATTGGAAAACAATATAGCGTTTACTTGTACATAACTGTACGCCGATCAAGACCTCGCGGGCCTGTTATAATATTACGGGGGGGGGGCCGGATTTGGCCCGCGGGCCTTGAGTTTGACACATGTGCTTTTAGGGCTCACTTCTTCAGTGGCTTATCTTATCAGTTTCTATAATATTGAATATTGGCTCGATACTAAAAATTTTTTTAAAAACATTCCCTTTTGGAATATTAGTAATTCTATAGAATCTTAAACTGGGGGTAAGGGGGGGGGGTGGCCGAGTATTCATTTGCCATTTGGTGACTGGGATGATCCAGTAATTCTTCTGTCCATAGCTGAAAGTACGTTTGGTCACCTGCTTTGAATGGTCAGTTTCACGGAGGTAAACTTGAATGAAAGAAAAAACAAAAACAAACTATCCAGCAGTCCGTTTAGTGTGGTCGATTGCCTGTTGACCTGTGATGTTTTCCAAGAGCTGTCGGTGAGTTAACATAGAAACAATATTAAAAAGCAGTTGCAACACTAACACGATAATAAGCCGACGAAAGTCATCGTTCCGCATGGCTGCACACAAGCGGTGGATGTCCATCACGTGGTGTTTGTCGGCCCAGTTCAGATAGGGATCACGTGTCGGGCGCCGGCGTCCTTCATGTGCCCGGCGCTGTGATTGAGGGCGCCACTGCGGAGTCCTCTGTAAACTTACAAAGCCTTGCTGTCGGTGTCCCGTTGTTTCGTCCTCCACGGTCGGTGTTGGCGGTCACCCTTGTCGGTGCGGTTATGTGCCGACACTTTGTCATTGTCGGCGTTATCACAGGTTCGGGTCACTTTGATGTGGACGGCGAATGACCAATAGTGGCTTAATTGGCTGGGCTCAGATCGGATGGTATATAAGTGGAAGTCCAGGCGAACTTCTTCATTCTGAGGTTTATCAGAGTTCAGAACACATCATACAGAGTATCAGAACGACTGTGTCTTTGTGTATTTCCTCTGGACTTTATTGATATATCAATTCATTTGGAGCATTTTTCTTTGGAGTATCATAGACTATCTTGGACTATCATAGTAGACAGAGTCAGTGTATTTTCTCTGGAGTCTATTGCATATAATTTCAGTTGAAGTACGACAATCATAGACTATCTTGAACTGTTATACATAAATTCATTCCGAGTATCATAGACTACCTTGGATTCAGTGTCTTTCCTCTGGAAGTTATTGCCATATAATTTCATTCGCAGTTGAGTATCTTGGGTTATCATAGACCATCTGGAAGTGTTACTAACTAACTTAGATTATCTTGGAGTATCATTGTTTCCAACAGCCTAGTTGACTATGGCTAGTGTCCTGGACGTAGATGGTGATTTTTTCACGACCTTCAACTTGAGGTCAGGTCCAGTCATCGGGAAGGGAATGTCAGGTCAGGTCGTCCTAGCGACTCACGCTAACAACCCAGGAATGAAGTTGGCGGTCAAGATGTTTTCCCTGGTCACAGGTCAGGACGTCACCAAAAACAAGAAGCTGTTCACACGTGAGGTCAAATGTATGCAGACACTTGACCACCCCAACGTCATAAAACTCATCCTGGCCGCCCGGTGCCCGGATCGACTGCTCATCTGCACGCCCTACTGCCCGAAAGGAAGTCTGTCTTCAGTGCTGACGTCACTAACTCCAGCACACCTGGCCGTCTACGTCAGCCAGCTCACATCCGCCGTGTGTTACCTGCATCAGAAGAGGGTCGTCCACTCAGACATCAAACCCAGCAACGTCTTCATCGATGACCGCGAGAATGCCATTCTCGGAGACTTCGGTGTTGCGTTTATGGTACCGACTGACCAGACCACCGTCCGGCCCAAGGTGGTCGGAGGCACGCCCGCCTTTATGGCCCCAGAGTTGTTTGGACCAGGTCATGTTGACCCCTTCAAGCTGGACGTCTACTCCCTGGGTGCGGTCATCTGGTGCATTTTATTCCGACTGGAGCCCAACTCTGAGAACGTCTACGACTACCTTCACGAGGTCAACACGTGCCCGGATGTTCCACAGCCCTACAGGTGAATAGTGAATAGTTATTACATCAAGTTTTTTATCATCTCTAAGTTATTATCTTAAGCCGACTTGCCAGAATACTATTTCTGTGATTGTTTTCTGTGAGTTCATAATGGTTCTTTCCCTGTAGTATAGGCGCTATTGGTTAAGTAGCAACGGCTTTTATACGAGTTGCCGTTAGATGACGCCATTAAACTAATGACATTTCTTGTAGATATATTCAAGTAAATTATTTGACAACACAGCGATCCAGGCCAGCATCGGTGTCTTATAATTCTAATTAATTGATATTGATAATTATTTTTACGTAACTATTAGGTTAATTAAATTATTTTATTTGAGATGAAATACAGTAACATTTCATCTTAAGACAGTAACACAATTCATCTTTATTTCAATCCTTCCTCAAACGCACTCATTCATTAAAAGGTTTGCTGTCGTATAAGAGGACTTGTTATTAAGAGGGCTTGGATTAGTTTGGACTAAATAAAGTCAATTCTCGGTTGTTTCAGATGGACGCTACAGGCGACCCTCGAACCAGATTTCAGAAGGCGATCAACAGTTTCATCTCTCATGGAAAAGTTACGAGTAGTGGGGCGCCATAGGGCGCCTGGCGACGAACTTCCGAGAATCTAAACAGATCTATCAGGTTTTTTTTGTTTTTAATTCACTAACATTAACCCTTGAACTTCTCTAACCACGTGACTCTGTGCATGCTACTTTTTATTTACTTGTATTAACCTTAGAACTTTACTAACCACGTGACTCTGTGCATGCTACTTTTCATTTACTTGTATTAACCTTAGAACTTTACTAACCACGTGACTCTGTGCATGCTACTTTTTATTTACTTGTATTAACCTTAGAACTTCTCTAACCACGTGACTCTGTGCATGCTACTTTTTATTTACTTGTATTAACCTTAGAACTTTACTAACCACGTGACTCTGTGCATGTTAGCATTTCATATTTTAAATATCATGATATAGAAATTTCATCTGCTACCAATATTATCTCTCATTGTTTTTCATGGTAACACTTTTTTATTCTTCTGTAAGCTACTCACACATTGCGACTCTCAACTAATTAGCTACCTACTCTAACAACATGGCAGCTTTATTCTGATTGTCTACCTAATCTAACAATATGTCCGCTTTATACTGATTGGCTACACCTCATCTAACACTTACATGTCCGCCGTACTGGCTACCTAATCTAACAAAATGATCGAACTCTATCATCACTTCCTAACTTATTTAACAAGTTATTTTACTGTATGTTACAATTAAACTGAGATAAAAATCTATCTAAATTTTTTTTAAAAATTGATTCAACTCTTGTTTAATTTTTTTTTAATTTTAATTAAAATTCGTGTTATTGATAAAAGCTTATCTATCTATCTACTATAAATCAATTACCAGATCACAGAACTAATTAGCCTATCTACTATAAATCAATTACCAGATCACAGAACTAATTAGCCTATCTACTATAAATCAATTACCAGATCACAGAACTAATTAGCCTATCTACTATAAATCAATTACCAGATCACAGAACTAATTAGCCTATCTACTATAAATCAATTACCAGATCACAGAACTAATTAGCCTATCTACTATAAATCAATTACCAGATCACAGAACTAATTAGCCTATCTACTATAAATCAATTACCAGATCACAGAACTAATTAGCCTATCTACTATAAATCAATTACCAGATCACAGAACTAATTAGCCTACTTTATCATTCATCGAGTTTTCTCAAGTTAAGTCATTAATAATCAGCGTTTCAATATACATTTTAAAACAAGATGTTTGTTTCTGAAGTCATTAAGATTGATTGTTCTGTGCACGCACCGGATAGTGGCATTTAACCCAAATATTGTTTTATATTTTCAGTCTCATCTTCTCCATTATCTAGATTCGTTTCCAAATGACGTCATGTTTGTCGTCAGTAATTTTTTTTTTTAAAAGCCATTTTTTAATCAGGCCACAAAGTACGTCTATGCTGTGTACGTTGTACATGTACACAACCGGTGTACACAATAGACAAACTTTGCGACGGTCCCAAGCCCGTGTAAACTGAGAGGGGAAATGGCTCATACAACAACACATTACGATAACCAGGGGCGGGGCTAGGGCTAGAACTGCCCGGGACGGGACAAGAACTTTGCCCCCCCCCCACCCACCCTTTTCCACGAACAAGTTGTACATCCCACCCATTTATATATAAGATTGAAGGCAATCTGATAGTGTAGCCGTATTCAAGGTCCTAGCAATTTGATAGTGTACCCGTATGTAAGGTCCTAGCAATCTGATAGTGTAGCCGTATGTAAGGTGCCAGCAATCAGATAATGTAGCCGTATGTACGGCTCTAACAATCATATCGTGTAGCCGCATGTCAGGTCCTAGCAATCTCTGTCGTATACATTTGCGTTGCAAGAGTCGTATACACTGGCGTAGCGTGGTAGAGTTAGATTCTCAGAGTGACACAGAGTTACAGTTACGGGAGCAATCCCATCCAGAGCCAAGTGTGTCAGACTTCGATTCTGTCAAGCACTGGAGTGGATCTTCTCGGGATTAGCTGGCCCAACTCTGAGAACCTGTACGGCGACCTTCACGAGGTCAACACAAGATATTCCACTGCCCCAACAGTATTAATTAGACTTATGTGGATTGTCATTTTATAAAAAAAGGCAAAATACCTATTACATTAGTCATGTTTTACGTCTTTGAGCCTATTTTTTGTCTGTTAAATTTGAAATATAAATAAGTAGGGTCTGAATAAGTGAATAAGCATAGGCGTCTCTAGCGGTAACCCCCCCCCCCTTTTTTTCCGCCCCATATATAAATAGTTAACATTTATAGCAAAATAATAAAAGTATTATAATCAATAAAATTATAAAATAACAATAAAATTAAATAGAAAACAAAATGAAATTTAAAAAACAATATAAGTAATATAATTAGTTTTCCATCCATCCATGTGGCCTGCCTCACTACTTCCTTCCACTCAGACCTAACTGATGCTTTTCTTTTCCATGCTTGGATTCCCATTTGCTGTAGACCTTTTTCCACATCACCCATCCATCTAAGCCTACGTCTGCCTTTGAGCCGTTTTCCTCTGGGGTTTTGGGTAATGTACCCTATTCATTCATTTGGCATATACTTTCTAAGTGTTCTGCCAAGCGTGACACCTCCCCCCCCCCCCATTTTTTTTAAAAATAAATATTTCTGCTACTAGTGTGGGATCCCGATATGGACTACTATTCCTGGTTGGTTGGTATTCTCCATCTATATTCATCCTTTGTTGGCCCATGTATTTTCCGGATAACTTTCCTCTCCCATGTGTTTAATAGGTTTTCTGTCGTTTTTGTTATGGTCCAAGTTTCACTTGCGAATGTTACAACTGGTCTAATCATAGTTTTATAAATAGTTTTCATTGTTTCTCTTGTAATGTTTTTAATCTTGAGTATTTTCTGACCACTGAAGTATGTCCTGCGTGTGTCCGGCTGATATTCTTTCTCTTTTTTTTCTGTTAGTGTTAGTAATTTGTTTCTTTCATTTCATCAAACTCCTAGGTGTTGAATGAATTGATTTACTTTTTAAAAAGTCTGGTTTCTAATTTTAATGGCTTCATCTTCCTATTCTTCTGTTACCATAGTCACGTATTTTGGTGGTTTGTTTTGTTAACTTCCAGCCCGGATTGTACTGATGCGTCTTCTAATTCAATAAAGGCTTTTGATATGTCTTGACTTCTTTCCCCTAACAGTGCAGTATCATCAGCATTTGCAAGATACTGAAGGGGTTGATAGTAGAAAGTGTCCATTGGTTGTGGGTCTTGTGTTGCCCTAAGAAGGTATCCTGTTTGTTCCTCTGATGTCAATATGCATGCTCCTTATAACTCTCTCCAATGTTAGGTTAAATAGCTTACAAGACAGTGAGTCTCCTTGTCTTAGGCCTCGATCAATCTGAAATTCCCTTGAATATTCTCATGTGTGTGTGTTATTTGTATTATGCATACATATTGTAATCGCACATTTAATTATATGCTTTATTCAAAATTATTTTTATGTGCATACATGAAGCCCATCAACACGACTATCACAGATTGAATGACAACAAATGGCAGTGAGCGGTTGGTCATTTCATTCTCGCGTCTCATCTCACCGACACGTCCAACATAGTTAAGGATTCAAAGGAAACCAGGGGACATAGAATTGTATAACTCTATCCAGACAAAGCATCAGTGGCCTCAATGTGGTCAATGGTAATAAATGGGGAGGGGGGGGTCATTGCGGCTTTGGACAGAACGATATTAAAAAAAATCCTTTGTTCCCCAATCTTGTCAGAAGTAGGTTGACTTTTGTCCGTGACTTTTTGTCCGCTCACCGTGTTACATGTATCAGCCTTGTCCGTTTTTTTAGGGGTATGCCAAACTTCTGTAGATTCTCATACAGATATTTTCTTTTGATGCTGTCAGTGTCATGGGTCATTTTATGGTCCACATAGAGTTGATGTACTGGGATAGTATATTCATAGCATTTCTCTACTAGGCATCTGATGGTGAAAATCTGATCAGTCATTGATCTGTTTTGCCTGAATCCACATTGGTAATCACCTAGTATTTCTTCAGTGTAAGGTTGTAGTCTTTTGGCATTTAGCTTCGTCGGTATTTTGAATGGAACACTTAATAGGGAGATTCCTCTGTAGTTTATAGCCTTTCCTGTGTCTTGGGGTCATATACGATGTGTCCCATCCTGTTGGATTCTTCTCTTCTTACCATTTTTGAGTCATAAGTTTATGTGTCCGAGTGTGGCGTTCTCTTCCTTCATATTTAATCAGTTCTGCTGTGGCGAGGTCTTCTCCGGGGTTGGAAGGGGGGGGTGTTGTGGTTGTTCATATAACGGGGCGTCCATTAATTACGTCAACAATTTTAAAGCAATTTATAACCCCACTC